ATTTTATAGTGCACTTGATTTTCACCCTTCACACTAAACTGTAAACTTAGTGGAGTACAATCTAAGTTTCAAGACCTTAGGCCACTAAATTGTATATTTTTGAATTTGAACTTCACTACTCAAACCCAAGGATGTTTAACCCTAATATCTTAAAACACTTAACCAATTATAAAAGGAGTACACTTTTAATTATGCACTTTTTCTCTCTATATTTAAACTCCTATAAATCATCTTTCAAATCATTTTTTTTGGTTATTTAATAAAACAAAGGGGCAAAGTTAAACTCCTAAGCAAGAAGCAAAGGAATTAAAGTATACAATAACTTATGAGTGTATAACCCAATGAATAAAAGGATAGAAGCACAAATCAATATTGACAAATTCCTAAAGCATCTAACATCCCAATGCTAAATGGAATGAAATAGAGTCTAACACTATTTCAACATATTAGTGGCATAATACGAGGATATGGGTACTTCATTAGCTAACATAGTATAGAATTTAAGCTTAGACCCAAGTCAGACGCAAAACAAAAACAATCACATTTAGTAGAGAGCTAAATAATGCCTCAAGTTAGACAGCTATGCTCGACCAACATCATAAATAGAGAACTTTTATTTATTTGTACTCAAGATTGCAAATGAAAAAGCTTCACAAGAATTGTTATCTAGAAGGAAAAAAACCCCTCAAAATGAAAAAAGAAGATTGTTGTATGGAGCTAAAGGTAAATTATTAGTTAAGCTTAGGGATGAAAGTAGAGACTTATATAAGAGGCATCTGGGACCAAAACTATATTTCTTCCAAACCATTCCAACACTTAAGAAGAACTAAAAACTCTATAATAATGAGACTTATTTGATGACATTATAAGTTTTGATAATGGAGCTATATATTAATTATAACCTATTGTTATCTAGAAGTTAAAGACTGGCTCATAATTAATATGTATCCCTATTTTATATAGTTAATCTGCCATATATAATAATGGTAAATGCACACAAGCATGCAAATGCACCTTTTTATAGAATATCTTTCAATCTTGAAAATATAGATTTAACTCTTTGATTCGTATATACCATCTACACTATATGATACAAAATTAATAAATTATATAGAGATTCACTAAGATAATATATCATGCTCATACAAACAAATAAAAAATTTAATTTTCTTTTAATATTCGAATGGATTACAAATATTATAGAAAGTTTTATGGAGTGGATTTGTTAGTGCTTTCCATTGTGTTATTTATTTGTTCTTTTCTCTTGCTTTGGATTGTTGTTTTGAAAGTAACGGAAACATTTTTATCAATAGTAACTGTGATTTTATATTTTCGGATGGGTAATAAGGATTAATAATGTAATATGGAAATTGTGGTAGTGACTTATATATTTTTTGTTTTCCTTGCCTCCCATCTCTGTAAAACACTAGAGAATGAATGAATGAATAAGCATTTTGAATTATCTATATATTTCTAGCTTGATGTGTGGTGGTTAATTGTTAAAATATCAAAATGTACAATAGAAATTTCAAGTTTGTAATGAACTTAATATTCCCATTTTTATTTGAGCCTTTAAAAGCTCTCTTTAACCAAAACATTATGAATGTTGAAAATAATAATTATAGGTTCAGGTGAACTTCTAATTCTAGAAACTACTCATTCAGTATTTTATTGTATAGCTCACATTGAAAATAGATGTTCTCCTCTTAAAAATAGAAGTTCTCCAAATTATTAACAATTAAGTTCATGAATTTCAAGTTTGCCAAGGAATAACATTTTTCTGACATGAAATTTCTTTATAAGACTTATAGTTGGCTGATATATACTTGAGCAAAATTGAGCTCAACTCAATTTTGGATAATAGTGGCACTTTCTTGCAATCCAACTAAACAAAATCTTCAAAATACTCCTTTCATATTAAGTCATATTTTTATAACATAGTCAAGATCAACCAATCATATGTTACAACAAAGGTTCCCAAGATTCTACAAATGTCTACTATAAAAGAGTTCGAGGTGTTAACTAATCTAACCATATTTTCACTTCTATAATAAAATAAAAAGCTTTATATCAAGCCTAAGAACAATTTTCAACCTCTAAAACTTTATTTTTGCACTAAATCTTTATGGTGGCCTTCAAAAGACTCCTCTACACATTTTTCACCCACTACCCAAGATATTGAATATGTTGTATACAAATTTTTGGTTGTTAAAGCAAGTATGATATAAAATGGCAATTTTGAAGAACATATAGTTTCTTTACTGTTTGGATATAAAGTAAAACCTTCTTTTAGTCACATGGTCATTGATATCAATATCAGCCAATGCACAGATTTCTTTCTTCTTTTGACTTCATAATGATGAAGATGGTGAGGTGATTTATACACATATTTGTCACATTTGTGAAGTGCCTTCCAAGAGGATATTCAACACCTAGGGACTCCCACAAATTAGATAGGATGTGCTCCATCATTACCTTTAACCATTCTAGCATTAAGAAGTCTTTATTCCTCTTTCTTTCATTTTTCATTTTGTTTTTCTCTTATTTATTTTCTCCATTTTTCTTACTTTTGTTTTTATGCTTCTTTCTTCAAGTTATGAAGAGTGTTATTGAATTATAGTTTTCAACCTCATACTACTTTATCTTGATAAATTGTAGTTTTTAAGTTTTTATATCAACTTTTCCCTTTTCATCATTCTCACCATCTCAACCAACATTCCTTTTTATTTTTTAATTTGATCATTTTCTACAGTATTTCCCACAAATGCTACTTTCATTCTTTTTTATGATACCAAAATTGGGCTTGACATTTTTTTTCAATATTTTACCCATCTTAATAATTGGTATATACAACTAAAGATTCATATCATCTATATATTACAACTGCAATAAATTAACACAAAAATTTCAACTTAGCAACAAGCTAAGATTTCTAATATTTGGTTAGGCCTTGTGTATGGAAGCATCCAAGCCCTTTTTATAGAGTGGCTTCTATCTTATTCTACTTCTTTCAACAAGTAGTAGTTTTGATATAGATAATTTATCAGTATTGATAATCTACCACCTTTTCTTAGATAATGTTTGAGATTATGTACTTTATTGTTTACGTGGACTCTTCATAGGTTCTAACTATTCCATTCATCCACTCACTTCCTCAAGTAATATATTGTTTTCTTTCATTTATATTGCAAATATGATTATGGTATTGAAATTATTTATCAGTGAACTTTTGAATATTCTTTTTTTATTGCCACAACAAGAGATTAGTATTGTTAGACCTTTTATCAATCTCCACCCAAATTAATTGAGAAATTAATTTTCACATGTGCATTTGGCCAAAGGAGCATAAAGACAGAATTCTTAAATGCTATTAATCAAATATACTTGATTTAGTTAAAGAAACTCATTCATTAGCTTACACTTATTAGTGTTAAGAACCTTTATAATATTAAGCTTAGACCCTTAATACTTGTTAAGTGATAGTTTACCATGTCTATCAAGACACTCTCACTATTATGCTCTATGTATTAGTTCTGTTTGATCTCATTAACTATTTGTGGAAAGTGTTAAGATTTGCTAATAAGGCAGAATGTAGAGATTGTCTTAAATACGATAATCCCATGTCCAAATTTGCAATCTAATGCCATTTCATATTTAATAAGTTTTCATGATTGTTTTAGACACTAACTCTTAGGGTGAAAGCTTTTTAACTTCTTGCTTGCATACCTATCCTTGTTCAGCTTCTAACTTGAGTCTAAACTTAAGATTCATATCATGCTAGCTAATGGAGCACTTATATCCTTGCGTTAAGTTATCAATATGCTAAAATTGCACTAAGCTTTGTTTTACGTGCTGATCCTAACTTTGGGATGTTAAATACTCTAAAACTATTTTTATATCACTTACTATTTTTGTCCCTTTGTTTATTGGGTTGTACACTCATGAGTTATTCTGTAGTTTGGTTTTTTTCTTTCTTAGGTTATATATTTTATTTCCTTTGCTCTTGGAATTTAGCTCCATCCTTTTATTCAATGGTTTAAGACCTTGAAACTTGGGTTTTACTCCATTACCCTTGGCCACATATCTAAGGGTTTATGTTTCACTCCAGGATTATCCTTTAAAACCACATACACTATAATTTAACTTTGAGATGATCTTGGGAGCTAAAGGTGTTTACAATGCAATAATATATGTTATTAAGCATGGGTATGATTCTAGGGATATTCCTAAATATACTTAATGTGTTTAGGGCGTATTCATTATTGCTGGCAATAAATCACCAATGATTACTTTGCCAACTTGAACTCAAGCAATGATCTAGTGTCCATATGACTACACCTTTACCTCCCCACACTCAACTTTCACACACACCCTCCCAGGAGATCCTGTGACATCTGCAGATGCTGCAAAGTACCTCAAAGCCATGGGACACCATAATCGACTTGGCATTTAGAGAGATGTAGTATGTGTGAGTGAAAAACTTAGTATGGTCCCATGCCTACCTGGGTGGTGCAGTGACTATAGGGCACCATCTCAAGTTCAGTCAGTTCGCTCGAGACAAATTGCTTGACTACTACTTACCAGCAACTTCAATCACTCTTTGTGCCAAGAAAAAAGTTTAAATACTTAGAAACTACAACCACATCAAATAGATCCAAATGGATAAACTTCCAGACATCATCCAACACCAGCAAGCATTTCTTCCCAAGAAGCCCCCTCCTCAGTGTTTCATTGTTCATCTGATCACCTGCTACTCCGACTCGTTGGGCAAGTTTGTGTTGCTTTGAAACTCCTTGTTCATAGTAGCTTTTAGTCAACACTTTCCACTGTTTTTCTTTGTTGTTTCCATTTCGCTGCCGGGTCCAAAAAGTTATCTATCAATGACTAAATGTTGGTAGACGTTTACACGCAATTTAGGATCACCTTGGAGGCTATAAAGTCAAAGATAAAAAAAAAATTCACGCTCCTCACAAGCTCAAGAGCTGTTCTCGCATGAAAAAAGGTTAATATCGCATATAAGTACTGCTCCAACCTCTTTGCTTCAATCATCGCTAGTTCTTTCTTGATCTCTTCCACAAGTTCGTTCTTACGAACACTCCACTCTCCAAAGCGATGAAGATAGTGGTCTCAAAATCCTGGCACTGCTGCTGATGACTATGGTGATTGTCTCTCTTTCACTCTTTACAGGTGTCGATGCCGCGGACCCCGATCCACTGCAAGACTTTTGTGTCGCCGACCTCTCCAAGGATCTCACCATGAATGGCTTCCCTTGCAAAAGAGCCTCCAACACCACCACCGAGGACTTCATCTATGGCGCCCTCAAGCGTTCAGCCAACACGAGCAATCCACTCGGTGCTGGAGCGGTGCCTGGATCTGTCTTAGAGTACCCGGGCCTAAACTCGCTGGGCCTCTCCATCTCGAGGCTCGACTTCGCGAAGGGCGGTTTGATCCCTCCTCACACACATCCCCGCGCGTCCGAGATGATCTACGTCGTGAAGGGGAGCATGTACGCCGGGTTTGTCACCACGGACAACAAGCTCTTCGCTCGAGTCATCTCCAAAGGCGACGTGATGATCTTCCCCCGGGGTTTGATCCACTGGCAGCTCAACGTTGGAAACACCAACGCAGTGGGGATTGTCACGCTCAACTCGCAGTTCCCTGGCTTCCAGATGATCGCCAACTCCTTGTTTGGATCCAAAATCCTGGACGAGGTGTTGATGAAGGCCTTCTTCATTGACGAGAAAGCCGTGCAGCAGCTCAAGTCAATCTTCACTCCGTCTAGATAGGTGAAAAAAAAACGACAATGTTGAAACTTTGTCATAAACCAGATTTCCGCCAGTGTCTTGTGCTGGAGAATGCTCAAGAGCTCATTTGGTCCTCCATTCTCTTGGAAACGTTCGTTTTCTTCACGATCAAAGCAGTACCATGGCGCTTGCCAGCCTTCGTCCTCTAGCACCTTGCTAGGCTCGCTCGAAAGTCATGGGGAAGAGCTTAATTCTTAGTTCTTAGAGCGAAAAGGAAGAGACTGTACCTGTGTAGAAGATCCGATACACAGGCCTCTTCGTCTCCACATCCTCGTGAAACCATCGGCCTTGGACCAGATTTCACAACTGAATCCTCCAGTGCAGGTTGAATTGCTCACCGCAAAATTCCCCACCTGCAGCTGCCCGCGTCGAGCGTAGAAGGATGTGTCGTTTGTCCACTCGAGATCATAGAGCGTGGATCCCAGCTCCTGCCATTTGGAGCTTGCCGCTCACATTTTGGAGCAGCGCGTGGAGTTGCTCCGGCCACGGCGTTGCCGGCGCCGCAGAAGGCGAGAAGAATCGTTGTGAGCCGCAGCCAACGAAAATATCCCCAAACCTGCTAAAATTTATGGTTCTTCGAGGAACAAGGAGCTTTACAAGCGCTGTCCAGAGCCCACGCAGTTTCTCGCCAACATGCTAATCCGCATGTACGGTAACAGCGGCAGCATTGAGCCAGAACTTTTTCTCACGGCAAAGCGCATTGGATGATACTGAGCAAGAAAAACTGTTTTGATGCGATATTTCAGCGGATGTTACTGCCTGGAACGCAATCCGAAGCTGGGCATACAAAGAGGCGCAAAAGCTCTTTCAATGGTCTCGAGGGAGTCCTAGAACGGGTCTTCTCGGCCATGCCCGTCATCCTTTCTCACAGAGAAAAAATCGATTTCTAATAGAGGCATGAGATGGAGATGGCGTGCCCGACACCATTGTCGCGAGATCAGCGTCATCTTTCATCGTCATCGAGAAAGACGGACGTGTCTCCCAGCGTGACGTGTCAAATTTCTGTCACAGTTGACAGGTCATGGACTAAAGATGTGCAGGTCAGCTTGAAAGTTTACAATAGCAAGGTTTATGTTACATGGTACAAGCTCATTGAGTGGTGCTGGTACGATGAGAATGAGAAAAGGTACTCCAGATTTGTCAACATGACTCATTTCCAGCTACTTCAATAAAGTTCGCTTAAACACATGAGCTCGAAATCAACCTTCATTTTTCTCTATTTCCTAGAAAACAACACATATTCCAATTCTTTCCTTTGGCTAAAGTTCCTCAAAGCGAAGATCGTGAAGAGGGAGCTTGAAGATAGCTTGAAGATTGTATGAAGCATGGAGAGCGAGAATCCTTTTATGCATCCATCAGTCTCATGCTTCACGTGCGAGACTATATATTTTTCGGCTTGCGAGCAGCAGCAATGCTCATGGGCGAGAGCGCATGTCTGTTCAAATTGCGTTTCTCAAGGCAGCAACAGGATTTGATTTTTTTCGGCCAAAATTCAATTAGACAATTACTAGAATAGGGGCAGCCTCTGGCCTACGTTGTAAGTTTTTGCGAAACAGGCAGCGCTCACACCAGCTCAGGTCCATGCGTGGTTATTATCGTCTCGACAAGTCTAGCTTTGGGCCACAGGGGTCTCACTGTGCCTCTCCAGTTCCCAGATTCAATTCCAAATATGCCATATTATTATAATTAGTGTACTCGGTCGGCGTCAACAAGCTCGCGTTTCTGACCGGAACATGTCCTGAGAGATATCAAGGGCTGGTGAAGTAGCCAGGAGAGCTTCACTCCGCGCGGTCACTCCGGAGGGACTTGCTAGTGTGGGATGCGTTGGTAAGATTTTTCCTTTGTGGCCACAGTTCAAGATGTTGGAGTGATCGGGCTCTCCCAAGTCAAACCATCCCTTAAATAACATTTCCCCGCGGATGATTTATCTAGCCCATCCTGCCAGCTTGCTAGACCTAATTCTCTCCTTTTCTGAGATTCAAACTGTGAGAAGAGCAAGCTCAAACCTCATGCCCCACACTACCTATAAACAAACTTACTCTCGCTCACGAGTTTCAACGAGGAACTTTTAAGGAAAGCCAAGCAGGAAAACGAAACAAAATGGATGCAGCAGAACAGACGAACCGCAGCATCTGTTATTACGCCTCGCTTGGCACAAGGCGGAGGAGAAGAAACACTAACAACTCAACAGGCGAATAAAAAAGGGTGGCCAAAGAAGCGGAGGAGCTCTAAAAGGTCAAGAATCCGCTGTGATGTCACATGCCGAAGTCCTAAGGTACTTGCTGCTCGCTGCTGCGGGGACACTAATCTCACCTTAATCGCTCTCCATGTGTTGCATGTGCACAGGAGGCGTGCTTACAACTATTGCCACGTCCTTGGTAACCCTGGAAGCGCTTCACCACTGCTTTCAATCAACCCACGCAAGCAAAATCTCCAGCGGATACATTAATTCAACTTCACCCACCTGTGCCAGAATAATTTCCTTAGGCAGTCCTTGAAATTTGGAAACATTTTTTGCCGTCCTCCAGAGGTATCGGAGCTGTGTCGCGCTTAAAGATTCGAGCTTCGAAAGTACGGTGTTCGTGGCATCTTCACCTCCTCGAGCTCGATATCTAGATGAGGGGCAGCCGCGCGTGGAAGTCCTCAGCGCTGGGAACTCCAAGGAGGCATGAGCGTGGCAGAAGTGGAACGGATCTAGCACGATTGGTGTGTGCAGGGAGCACTCTTTTTCCTTTTCTCTGTTTTGTTCCGGTGCTCCTTACTATAATATATCTAACGCTTGAAACTAACCATAACCGCTGGACCTCTCCACGGAGGAAGAATGCCAAGTTCATCACAACTGCGCTGCCTATCAACATAAGTCCATCAGCATAATATATCGCGGTGACACATCCTCAAATCGCCTGGGCTCGCACCTCCTCACCACGATCTTCTGCGCTGCTCCACGGTTCCCATGAAACCTTGTATATCCTCCACACTCCCGCGATCGTATTCCTTGATCCACTCCACCAGCTGGTTATACACGTCGCGCTCGTAGCAGCTGTCCGCTGAGAAATCCATCTCCCATGGCCTCTCCCGCAGCATGCACATGGTGCTCGAAGCTCCCCAGCTGGACACTCCCGTGCGCATCCAAACAACTCCTGCTCCATACACTCCAACTTTCCATGGACGAGTGCAATCGCACGAGTTCAAAGCGCTCGGGATGCTTATATCCGCGTGTCAACGAGCCGCCAACTTTGCCATCTTGCGCTGGAGTTTTCCTGAAACCCGACGACGATCCTTCGCTATCACCAGGAAGCGCTTGAAGCGGAGACGACGAGGAGCTGAGAACTTGCAGTGCCGAGGAAAGTGAGCTTTCAGGGTGTGCCGCTGCAGAAGACGTCAAACGGGACGTCAAACGGCTGATGTAAATGCCCAAGTTTGGCCGAGCCGCATCGATTCACTTGCCCATTTCCAACGATATCCTTTTGTCCATCTTGATGCTAAATTCTTTCTTTTGAGCGCGCCAGTAAACCCAATGAAACCGAGCCAGAAAAGCCACCCGGCATTCCTTTCGATGCTGCTGCTTCTTAGAGCATTATTTTCCTCGTCCCAATCCACTTCCAGAGCCGACCACTCGATAACCCGGCATATGTTGTAGTTGCAGTGTCGAGGAGCTTGCCTGGCTCGGAAGAAGAAGACGCAACATCCAAGTATAACTCGACCAGGAAGAGATTGGACTTGAGCTCCTGCCATTCCCAGTGCCTGGTATACTTATCCAGCTCGAGAAGAAGCTCGTGCTGGCCTGCTGGAAACCCACTCGAGAATACTGTGTCCAACGTGATATAGTCCACTGTTGTTCTCGTAGTCTTTCGTCATCTCTCCGACCCTCTCGGGACAATTGGCCACCGCCTCCTCACCTTTGAGTATCTCTTCACAAGATAACAATCTGACAGTTGACCTGTGGTAACTGCGACACTGTCTCCGTTGCGGAGAAGATAAGCCCGAGCAAGCCATCCAAATATATAGATAGTAGTGAGGTGGCGCTACTGCCACCTAGGATCATGTCATAGAGAGTGTATATACTTCACATCTTGCCAATTCGCATTCTCTTCCTGGTGCAAGGTTTAGATGAGCAGTGGAGAGAGTTCTGCCTCCTCGTCCCAGTTTGACGCGTGAGCCCTCGTCTTGAGTGAAAAGGATTTCGCATTCGTTCTTCTCTTTGAGCTGCTTGCTCTTCAAAATCTTCCCGTGTTGCCAGTGTAGCCTTGACAAGGAGAAGCCAAGAAGGCTAGCGTTGGCTGGACCAAATATTGTTTCCTTTTCTTCCTCTTGGATGTATCCGGGACAACGTCGAGCTTCCTCTTTCATTGAAACGAAAGGTTGGTATGCTTCCATTCCAAACTCTGCAATCCAGTGCCATGGTGCTTCTCTTCAATAACTCTCTTGATATGAGCGATCTGATACGAAGAAAACTGTTGGTACGATCTTCCATGCAAAGAATGGAGATATGGAGAGCAAATTCTTACAGTGTCGTGGACTGTGCTCAAACGATGCTCAAATGATCAAAGGCAAGCTTTTTTTTCACTCACATTGCATTGGACTTTCTGCCAAAGAAATAAACAAATTCATCATAAAAACTCATCACTGTTTGAAGTAATCTATGATTTGAATCTTGGATGATTGCCTGGAGGAGACTCTGCGCCTTTGCCAGATCCCACTTGACAGGGCATCTTTGTAGAGCTTCGGGCTCCAGCTCCATTGAGCCATGATCTGCTACAGGTATAGGCACATTTCTCAAATGGAGATTGGTCATTGCTTCCGACGGCCGGGACGTAGTGATCATGCACCTCATTAGTAATGAATTCTTGAAGTCAGAATCCAAGCTCAATTCATCTAGTAACGTCGCTACCACAAACACCTAGAAAATTATAGCAAATGACAGTCCCCCCCAAGCATGGAGGGAACACACTACTTGTGTACTTCTTTACCTCAAGGCGAGAATTTTTATAGCTCCTAGCTTGGTCCATGGCGTGTGCTCGAAACTGCTCTTGACCACAAATGCGTTCAACATCTTATAAATCTCTGTATTAT